TCGTCCGCGCCAGCAAACGAGAGAGTTAGCAGCGGTAATGAGCAGGAAGATAGTTTCCGCCCTTACAATAACACACACACACACACACTACTACTATTTTGCTGTCACTCGGAATCGAGTATGACAATCGTCCAACTATGAGACAATGATGTGAGTTATTAGGGAGGGGCGGTGGTAGCGTCTTTCCGGCGTTGCCGCTTGTCTACTTCGGTTTGCAGTCTGGTTAACTCGAAAGCATTGACACCTTCTCGTGTGGTGCTCCTCCAAGCATTACGTTGTCGAGTAATCGTCTCCCAGGTAAGGGGGTCGATTTGGCACTTTTTCAGGTTTGTTTCAGAACTGTCCTTATATCTTTTCAATTGTCCGCCGGCGTTACGTTTACTATTCGTTAGGTGACTGTAAAGTAGCTGCTTTGGCAGTCTACTGGTGCCCATGCGGGTAACATGGCCAGTCCAACGTAGTTGCTTATGGATAATGGTAGCCTCGATGCTACTACAGTTGGTGCCAGCAAGAATACTGGCATTTGTTCTCTTGTCATAGCAGCGAACTCGGAGGATGCAACGTTGGTGAAAGTTTTCAAGTGCCTTGAGGTGCCTTCTATATGTGACCCATGTCTTACTGCCATATAGCAGGGTGGGGAACACTACTGCTTGATATACGTGCAGCATTGTGGATAATTTGAGCTCCCTACAGTTGAAGACACGATTTTGGAGTCTGCCAAAGGCTTGAGATGCACATCTGAACCGATGCTGAATCTCTTTATCGATGTCTGCGGTGGTGGACAGGTGGAAGCCGAGATACCGAAAGTGGGCAACATTAGAGAGGGTATTACCGTTAAGCTGTGCCGAAGTGTGCATACGCGTCTGCGGAGGTGTTCAGGATCTCCTGTAGGTCGTGTTCAGTGTGCGCAACAAGGGTGATGTCGTCTGCATACTGAAATTCAGTAATAGAAGCTGCAGACACCTTTGTTCTTGCCTAGAGTCGTCTTATGTTGAAAAGACCCCATTCACCTGTATAGTGAGTCCCGGCTCCCAGACGAGGGTCGACTAGCGATCTCAACTCTCTGTATGACTCCGCTCTGGCATGCACAGATGCCAGAGTTCACAAGCTGAATATATAATATGTAAATATGATAATACATATACATAACATGGTGCATAATAAATGGAAACATTACATAGGATTAATACATGTTCTGTAATACTTTACTATACATAATTAATAGAGTAATATAAGAAGACACAGCTTAAGGTACTACTTCGTGTCCATATTATACAGCCTGCTGCAGAGAGAAATCGTATTTATGGAGTTGACTTTGCCATTCACCATTGCATCCTACTTAGGCTAAATGAAATGCCTGTTGGGATAAACGAGCGCCTTATGACGCTCCAAGTACCACTAAATCACTCACGTCAGGCCTTTTTCATCAGTGCATACGCCCCAACACTTGATGCAGAAGATGACATCAAGGAGGCCTTTTATGCTGACCTCGACAGAGTGCTAAGCTCGATCCCTAGAGAAGTTTAGCTCCTAGGTGACTTCAATGTCAGAGTTGGCAGAGATGCTGACATTTGCCAGGGAATCGCAGGGAGAAATGGACTATGCAAGTGTAATTCCAACGGCCTACTCCTCACCAATACCTCGTTTTGGCCGGCCGACAAGTTCAAGGGTTCGTGGCAACACCGCGAAAACACTGGCATCTCATTGACTACAGCATTGTTAAAGAAAGAGATCGCCGAGATGTCCTCATCACCCAAGCCATGCGTGGCTCAGACCATTGCGACACTGATCATCTGCTCCTCAGAGCTAAGTTCTCACTTCATGTCGCCCCAACACGGCGAAGGCAGCAAGCCTCCAGAAAAGGTTTTAACACAGAGTCTGAAGGATCCCTGCGGTGACTGTGCTTCCAGAGAGCAACTCGATTATGGGCTGATAAACAACCCGACACCAAACAACCCAAATCCCAGTGCCGAATGGGGTATTCTCGACACTGTGATGCCAACTCAGAGAGACCCTCGTCCAGATCGAAAAAATACACCAAAACTGGTTTGATGAAAATGATCAGGTAGTCGGTGTACTCGTCCATGATGAACGTGCTGATTTGACTGGCAGAACAACCTTTAGTCTCGGACTAAAGCTGATACATTCCACAAGAAGAAGCTACAGTCCAGCGTGAACTTCGTAACCTAAAGAACGACTGCTTTAAAATTAAAGTATGCGAAACACAAAACCTTGCAGATCAACACAAGATGCGCGAATTTTTCAATTACACTAAAGCATTTCATGAGTCAGTCACTCAAAGCGTAGCCCCCCCCCTCCATTCATCAGACGGTAACTCCCTAACTAAAGACGAAGAAGGCATCCTTCGGCACTGGAAAGAGCACTACCATTCGCTGCTTTAACCGAAACACCGGTGTGGATGTCCTGACTACCCAGCAGGTCCTCAGCATCCAGAGCTGACCTACCTCAGCTATCCTCTATCCCTGGATGAGGTAACAACTGCCATCAAATAGATGAAAAATAACAAAGTCTCAGGGAATCCCAGCCGAGGTGTACTCATATAAAGCAGGAGGACCCCTGCTTACCAGCCGTCTCCACTCTCCTGAAGAATGTATGGGAAAAGGAGGAAATCCCCCAAGCTCATAAAGATGCCTCCACCGTCAAAATTTATAAGAACAAGGAAGCCCAGTCAGACAGTGGCAACTACCGTTGGATCTTGCTGCTGTTGTCTGTGGCTTGCAAGATTATCGCCCGATTCCTCGTAAACAGATTTCTTCCTGAGGCGCATACCTTCCTCCCAGAATCTTAGTTTGGTTTAAGAATATCACGTGGCACCACTGACATGATCTTTGCTGCCCGCCAGAGACAGAACAGTGTCTTGACCTGTACATGGCCTTCTAGACCTAACCAAGGGCTTCGACTCTTTCAACCGGGAAGCCCTCTGGTGGACCCTCAGCCGTTTTGGCTGCCCACCAAAATTCATCTCCATTGTGGGCAACTTAAAAATGATATGAACAGAGTTTCTGCACAATAGCACCCAGTCTGAGTGCCCCATCTAAATGGGGTTAAAAAGGTTGTGTACTGGTACCAACTCTCTTTTCCATCTTCTTGGCTGCCTTCCTTTCTTGTGCCAATGCCAATTTAGCCGGCGGGTGGACATAGAGTACCAGATGAAGGGTCTTTTCAACATAAGACGACTCCAGGCAGGAACAAAGGTGTCTGCAGCTTCAATTACTGAACTCCAATATGCAGACGACCTCACCCTTGTCTCTCCATTGAACACAACCTACAGGAATTCCTGATCACCTATGCAGATGCGTATGCACACTTCGGCCTTGAGGTGAATGTACGTAAGACTCAGATTCTCTTTCAGCTTTCCCCTGGTTCTGCCACACCTCCACCATCCATTCAGCTTAACGGTACTACCCTTTCTAATGATATCCACTTTTGGTATCTCGGTTCCCACCTGGCCAGCACTACAGTCATCGATGAAGCGATTCAGCATTGGATCAGATGTGCATCTCAAGCCTTTGGCAGACTCCGTACCGTGTCTTCAGCTATAGGGAACTGAAATTATCTACAAGGTTTGCAGCGAAACATGGGTTACATACAGGAGGCACCTCAAGGCACTTGAAACTTTCACCAAATTAGTCTATGTTCCATCCTCCGAGTTCGCTGGCAAGACAAGGTAACAAATGCCATTTCGCTAACACCAACTGCAGGAGCATCAAGGCTACCATTATCCATGAACAACTACGTTGGACTGGCCATGTTACCCGCATGGACGACAGTAGACTGCCAAAGCATCTATTTTACAATCACCTAACGAATACTAAACGTAATGCTGGCGGGCAACTGAAAAGGTATAAGGATAGTTTTAAGACAAACCTGAAAAAGTGCCAAATCGACCCCTGACCAGGGGCGATTACTGCACACTCTAATGTTGGAGGAGCACCACACAAAGCGGTATCAATACTTTCGAGTTCGCCCGACTACATAACGAGGCAAACAAGCGCCAACGCCGGAGAGACGCTTCCGCCGTTTCTCCAGCACTAGATGTAGCCTTCCACGTGTGCAACATCTGTGAACGACCCTGCCGGGTCCTTATCGGCCTCTTTAGTCACCTCAGAACTCACCAACGAAGGTGGCATCCTTAATAACTCATTGTATCATAGGTGAATGATCGTCATACTCGATTCCGAGTGATAGCAAAGTAGTAGTAGTATTTGTGTGTGTGTGTATGTGTGAGTGTACGCGCTTGCGTGTGTGCGTGCGTGTGGTAATAGAGGAACCACTTTTCGACTGCTTTACCGTAGTCATCTGCCAATATTATATTTTGTTCACAATGGTGCAGTCAACTCGCTCACCACTCAGCCTCGCTCACGGGGTCTGCCTTTGTGTCGGTACAGTGAGTTCTGCTGTTCCCATTTCACTAAGCTTCATTAAGCAAGTATTAATCACAGCAATGCCTCATATGCAGAGCTCGGAGCTTCACCCACATATTTGTAAACCATTGGAGGGTTAAACATATGGTCTGAAACTTAATGTTCTTCTGAAGCAGTGGTGAGGGTTTAGCAGTGCAATTTGAACCTCGTTTCTGAACCACTGGTGATCTGGGGCTCGTATGCTCTTATGAACCACACGGAGAGGTTCTTGGGGATAAGCCTGATGATTCACATAGAATATAAAGTTATTTAAATTCCAAAGTGGAGTTAACACAATCAACTATAGCAGTGTCCATGGTAATATGAAGCCACATTGGTCGCCACGTTTGTACTTTTATCTGTTAACAAAAAAAGATTATTAATGTTACCACAGCAGTAATTGGAAGTGTCATTTTGTTTATGTAATATTAAAGTAGTTAGCGAGTGAGAAATTTATATTAATCATCACCAAACTTGTTACCGCCTCCAACGCCATGTGATGTACAGAACCTCCACACACTCGCGCCAGCCATGTCGATCTTGAGTCCTCCGTTACCCTTCTTATAGATCAGAACCATGGGGCTTGGTCTTACTCCTCTCGTACCGTCCACTCCACTCTCCACTAAACCTAACCTAATCTAACTCATCCAACGTAACCTAATATAACCAAACCAACTATAACCTAACCTAACCATGTGGTCATAATTGTACCAGGTGACTCACACGTGATCATAATTGTACCAGGTGACTCACACGTGATCATAATTGTACCAGGTGACTCATATGTGGTCTTAGGTGGTGTATGACAATAACAACATAAAGGCAACTAACACGTAAAAACATGAACCTGACTCCTACATCGACCCCTTCCCCCATCACCAAAAGACTCCTACATCGACCCCTTCCTCCATCACCAAAAGACTCCTACATCGACCTCTTCCTCCATCACCAAAAGACTCTACATCCCCTTCCCTATCACCAAAAGACTCCTACATTAACCCCTTCCCCATCACCAAAAGACTCCTACATCGACCCCATCACCAAAAACTCTTACATCGACCCCTTCCCCATCACCAAAAGACTCCTACATTAACCCCTTCCCCCATCACAAAAGACTCACCATCGACCCCATCACCAAAAGACTCCTACATCGACCCTTCCCCATCACCAAAAACTCTACAGTGACCCCTTCCTCCATCACCAAAAGACTACTACCCCATCACCAAAGACTCCTACATCGACCCCTTCCCCATCACCAAAAGACTCTACATCGACCCCTTCCCCATCACAAAAGACTCTACATCGACCCTTCCCATCACCAAAGGACTCCTACATCGACCCCTTCCCCATCACCAAAAGACTCCTACATCGACCCTTCCCCCATCACCAAAGACTCTACATCGACCCTTCCTCCATCACCAAAAGACTCCTACATCGACCCTTCCCCATCACCAAAGACTCCTACATCGACCCTTCCCCCATCCAAAAGACTCCTACATCGACCCTTCCTCATCACCAAAAGACTCCTACATCGACCCCTTCCCCATCACCAAAGACTCCTACATCGACCCCTTCCCCATCAGACTCTCATCGACCCCTTCCCCATCCCCAAAGACTCCTACATCGACCCCTTCCCCATCACCAAAAGACTCCCATCACCCCATCACCAAAGACTCACCGACCCCTTCCCCATCACCAAAGACTCTCATCGACCTTCCCCATCACCAAAGACTCACATCGACCCTTCCCCCATCACAAAGACTCTACATCGACCCCTTCCCCATCACCAAAAGACTCCTACATCGACCCTTCCCCCATCCAAAGACTCCTACATCGACCCTTCCCCATCACAAAAGCTCCTACATCGACCCTTCCCCCATCACCAAAAGACTCCTACATCGACCCCTTCCCCCATCACCAAAAGACTCCTACATCGACCCTTCCTCCATCACCAACCATATCACCAAAAGACTCCTACATCATTCCTCCATCACCAAAGACTCCTACATCGACCCTTCCCCATCACCAAAGACTCCTACATCGACCCTTTCCCCATCACCAAAAGACTCCTACATGACCCTTCCTCCATCCCCAAAAGACTCCTACATCGACCCCTTCCTCCATCACCAAAAGCTCCTACATTGACCCCTTCCCCATCACCAAAAAGACTCTACATCGACCCTTCCCCATACCAAAAGCTCTCACATCGACCCTTCCCCATCACCAAAGACTCTACATTAACCCCTTCCCCCATCACCAAAGACTCCTACATCGACCCTTCCCCATCACCAAAAGACTCCTACATCGACCCTTCCCCATCAAAGACTCCTACATCCCTTCCCCATCACCCAAAAGACTCCTACATCGACCCCTTCCCCATCACCAAAAGACTCCTACATCGACCCTTCCTCCATCACCAAAAGACTCCCTACATCGACCCTTCCTCCATCACCAAAAGACTCCTACATCGACCCCTTCCCCATCACCAAAGACTCCTACATTAACCTTCCCCCATCACCAAAGACTCCTACATCAGACCCTTCCCCCATCACCAAAGACTCCTACATCGACCCCTTCCTCCATCACCAAAGACTCACCATCGACCCCTTCATCACAACTCTACATACTTCCCCATCACCAAAGACTCTACATCGACCCTTCCTCCATCACCAAACTATGATTCCCCATACCACCCTTCCCCCATCACCAAAAGACTCCTACATCGACCCCTTCCCCATCACCAAAGACTCCACATCGACCCCTTCCCCATCACCAAAGACTCCTACATCGACCCTTCCCCATCACCAAGACTCCTACATCGACCCCTCCCCCATCACCAAAGACTCCACATCGACCCCTTCCTCCATCACCAAAAGACTCCTACATCGACTCTTCCACCAAAAAGACTCCTACATCGACCCCTTCCATCATCACCAAGACTCTACATCGACCCCTTCCATCACCAAAAGACTCCTACATCGACCCCTTCCCCCATCACCAAAGACTCCTACATCGACCCTTCCTCCATCACCAAAAGACTCACATCGACCCCTTCCCCCATCACCAAAGACTCCTACATCGACCCTTCCCCATCACCAAAAGACTCACATCGACCCCCTTCCCCATCACCAAAAGACTCCTACATCGACCCTTCCCCCATCACCAAAAGACTCTCCTTCCCATCACCAAAGACTCCTACATCGACCCTTCCCATCACCAAAGACTCATCAACCTTCCTCCATCACCAAAGACTCTATCGACCCTTCCCCATCACCAAAGACTCCTACATCGACCCCTTCCCCATCACCAAAAGACTCTACATCGACCCTTCCTCCATCACCAAAAGACTTAAACGACCCCTCCCCAAACACGACAACTCCCTTCCCCATCACCAAAGACTCACATCGACCCCTTCCCATCACCAAAAGACTCCTACATCGACCCCTTCCCCCATCACCAAAAGACTCCTACATCGACCACTTCCTCCATCACCAAAAGACTCCCACATCGACCCCTTCCCCCATCACCAAAAGACTCCTACATCGACCCCTTCCTCCATCACCAAAAGACTCCCACATCGACCCCTTCCCCCATCACCAAAAGACTCCTACATCGACCCCTTCCTCCATCACCAAAAGACTCCTACATCGACCACTTCCTCCATCACCATAAGTGTCCAGGGAATATTGGCTGAGTGTGAACCTTCAGGATTTTATTGATGAGACGAGAAGCTGTTGAAATGTTGAACCTACATGGCCGTTCACTGCATCACCACGACTTGCCTCACCTGTCGGGGTTATGGAGGTCTGTATTGGCACTTACACACACACACACACACACACACACACATACACACACATATACATACACACACATACATGATCTAACAACAGAGGCAATTAATACGCGAGAGTGGGTTGTCGACTATTGATATTGGATACAAATTAATTTAATGAAGTGTATTGTTTTATAATATATATTGTGTGTGTGTGTGTGTGTGTGTGAGTGTATCATTTAAATCAACACTACCATAATAAGTATAACAGATTATTGGCATCACTTAATGACACTTCTCTGTAAGTATTTGTAAGTCAGTTCACGGAAGACAGGAAATGGGCTGATTAAATATAGACAAGAATCACGGGAGAGGCCAGGTTAAGTAGTGGTAGTAGTGGTGGTAGTAATTGTTGTTGGTGTATTATTATTATTATTATTGTTATTATTGTTATTATTATTATTATTATTGTTATTATTGTTATTATTATTATTATTATTATTATTATTATTATTATTATTATTATTATTATTATTATTATTATTATTATTATTATTATTATTATTATTATTATTATTATTATTATTATTATTATTATTATTATAGTAGTCGTTAGTGGTAGTGGTGTTAGTAAAGTAGAGGTTTCCATTGTGATAATTTTCTTGTTAAAGCTTTCTGGATCTTTTAGTTTTCCCCGGGGAATAATGTTAGAAAAAATGCTGGTGGTAGTGGGGTGGGGGGGTGGGGGTGTGATAGTGTGGTGATGGTGTGTTAGTATGTGGTATTGGTGATAATGGCGTGTGGTGGTGATGGGTTGTGGTAATGGTGATGATGGTTGTAGTGGATTATAATAGTAGGGCCTGTAGTAATGGTGATAATAGAATATGGTGATGGTGGCTGTGTGTGTGAGCTTGGGTGTGTGTGTGACGGACAGGTCCTTACCGGTTGAGTGACGTGCGTCCTTCACCTGTTATAACTAGATGGATGAGGTGTACTTATACCTATCACACAGCACAGGATCAGATACACCTACCCTAGTGTCTTCATGTGTGTGTTGGTGATGCTACACTCTCATAACTTGTGACTTTAGTAAATTTATTAGAGGTCAAAATATGGTGCTGATGAGTTTTTTTTTATTTAATGATTTTTTTTTCCAATTCACAAACACCGGGACCTCAAATTAGCCTAATGTATGTCTCATTTTTACCTCCGTGGACAAGTGTCTGGTTGTTTTCAGCTCTTAATAATTTGACCTTCTGCTTCAACCATTTCAGGTGTTGGGTTTTAATCTCATCAGACTGGAACCAGGACCGATTTAAGTGTTCCTTCAGTGGCGTGAACAACAGGGAACCGTGGGGAGGTGAGTAAGTGTCTCCAAGTTGTTCATAGTATTGTGAGAGTGAGCATCACCCTGAAGACCTGGGTGTTACCTTCTGGCGACTGACTGTCCACATCATCACTACAACCTTCCGGCCAATGCGCCATGAGTGATTGGCCCATAAAATGTTTTAGTGGAATTGAAAAATTCGCACATCTTGTGTTGATCTGCAAGTTTTTGCGTTTCACATGGTTTATTTTTAAACCGGACTTTGTTTAGATGCGAAGTTCGTGCTGGGCCGCCACTTTTATTTTGAGGAAGGTATCAGCTTTGGACCGAGACTGAGGGTTGTTCTGTCAGTCAGTTAAAGCAGCACGTTTATCATCGAGAAGTATATTGATTTCCGGGTCATTTTCATCAAACCAGTCTTGATGTATTCTTTTGATCTGGCCGAGGGTCTCTGCTGGTTTTTTTCAGGCAGTGTCGAGAATATCCCATTCGGCACTGGGATTTGGGTTGTTTGTTGTTGGGTTGTTATCAGCCAATGTTCGAGCTGCTCTCTGAAAGCATGTGCTACCGATGGCTCCTCCAGCCGCTTAGTATTAAAACCTCTTCTGAAGGCTTGATGCTTTCGCCGTTTTGGGGCGACGTTAAGAGACAGCTTGGCTCTGAGGAGCGGATGATCAGTGTCACAGTGGTCTGAGCCATGCATGGTTCGGGTGATGAGGACATCTCGTCGATCTCTTTCTCTGACAATGATGTAGTCAATGAGATGCTAGTGTTTGGATCGTGGGTGTTGCCACGAACCCTTGAACTTGTCGGCCTGCTTAAACAAAATACACACACACACACAGACACAGACACAGACACACACACACACACACACACACACACACAAACACAGAGGATTTTTCAGTACACTCGTCTCCTTTAGTTTCAACAATATTAGACACAAAGTAACTGTTTTCAAACATAAGAACTGAGCCTTCGGTGTCGTGTAAGGATTGTGATGGTGTTGTGTAAGGATTGTGATGGTGTTGTGTAAGGATTGTGATGGTGGTGTTGTGTAAGGATTATGATGGTGTTGTGTAAGGATTGTGATGGTGGTGTTGTGTAAGGACTGTGATGGTGTTGTGTAAGGATTGTGATGGTGGTGTTGTGTAAGGATTATGATGGTGTTGTGTAAGGATTGTGATGGTGGTGTTGTAAGGATTTGTGATGGTGTTGTGTATGATTGTGATGGTGTTGTCTAACGATTGTGATGGTGTGGTGTTAGGATTGTGATGGTGTTGTGTGTAAGGATTTTTCAGGATGGTGTTGTATATGATTGTGATGGTGGTGTTGTGTAAAGGATTGTGATGGTGCTGTGTGTGACTTTTGCATGGTCTTGCAAGGATTTATTGTGGCTGGTGGTGCTGTGTATGATTGTTTTGGTGAAAAGGTGTGGGCGAAAGTGATGGTGTTGTGTAAGGATTGTGATGGTGTTGTGTATGATTGTGATGGTGCTGTGTAAGGATTGCGATGGTGTTGTGTATGAAAGTGATGCAGGGCAAAAAGGAAAGTGATGGTGTTGTAAGGATTGTGATGGTGCGTGTAAGGATTGTGATGGTGTTGTGTGTAAGGAAAGGATGGTGTTGTGTATGAAAGTGATGGTGTTGTGTATGATTGTGATGGTGTTGTGTAAGGATTGTGATGGTGTTGTGTAAGGATTATGATGGTAAGCAGTATGATTGTGCTGGTGCTGTGTAAGGATTGGTGGATGTGTTGTGTGTAAGGATTGTGATGGTGTTGTGTAAGGATAGTGATGGCGTTGTGTATGATTTCAGGATGGTGTTGTGTAAGGATTGTGATGGAAGTTAAAGGGATTGTGATGGTGTTGTGTAAAGATTGTGATGGTGTTGTGTGGGTTGATTGTGATGGTGTTGTGTAAGGATTGTGTTGGTGTTGTGTGGGCGATTGTGACATGGTGTTGTGTAAGGAAAGATGGCGTTGTGTAAGGCTAGATGGTGTTGTGTATGATTCAGATGGTAAGGTATGATCAGCAGGTATGTGTAAGGATTGGTGATGGTGTTGTATATGACTGTGATGGTGGTGCTGTGTAAGGATTTCAGATGGTGTTGTGTATGATTGTGGACAGGCAGTAAGGATTGTGATGGTGTTGTGTAAGGATTGTGATGGTGTTGTGTAAGGATTGTGATGACGTTGTGTAAGGATTGTGTTGGTGGTGTTGTGTAAGGATTGTGATTGTGTTGTGTAAGGATTGTGATGGTGTTGTGTAAGGATTGTGATGATGTTGTGTAAGGATTGTGATGGTGTTGTGTAAGGATTGTGATGGTGTTGTGTAAGGATTGTGATAGTGTTGTGTAAGGAAAGTTTATATTGCCTGTATTTCTTTAAGTCCAAATCCTCCATTATATCACCACTAGACAGCTGTGTTATAGTTGATGGTGATTATAGTGAGGTGAATGGTGACCTTGATGACCTCTGATTACAGTGAGGTGAATGGTGACCTTGATGACCTCAGGTATGTCTTTCACCTGTTTATCATAATTAAAGGGGCTGTTACGTTCTGCGATGGTGATTCAGATAGGGTGAATTTTTTCGTGAGTTATTTTCATCAATATATGAGTCACCGTCAGAGTTCATGGTGTTTTATAGTGACTCAGTTGTCACTTCCCGTATTATTTGAAGCTTAGCATTAGTTCAAAATTCTCTTTCACCTAATTCCGTGTTGTCAATGTATCCTCTACGACTACGTAAAAAAATTCTGTTTATAACTTCTTCATTGCATCACTGAAGGGTTCACCAGGCAAACTCTTGGTGTTTCCGAGCCTTTTCTCTCCCGCCAAAAGCTCTACATTCATTTCTTCGCAGATTTTTAGTGAGTTAGCAAGTTAACAGCCACATCCATCTACACTGAGAAGGCTTGCAGAAACTTACTTACACGACTGATGTTGGCTTGGATGTCACACTTGGATGTCACATAAGGAAGCGTAGGATCCAACCTCCTCGCCTAAAGATTGAGCTTCTACTTTATCAATATTATCAGTGGTTTTCTGTCTCACCTTGAAAAATGTCTCCTATACTTCAGTAGACTAAAATCGGACAGCCTCTATGTTTTCTCAAGTCATTTCACTCGATGGCTTCAAAGTCGCACTAAGGCGTTTGTTTAGCATGGCCCACCACCGTGTTGCTGCTGAGAAAAGTAAAGAGCTTCTGGCCATATCCAAAGTAACTAAAGACACCAACTATGAATATTTTTCTGCATCAACTTCTACCACATTTAATATACTGTATTTACTGTACATACACAGTTCGAGGATTTTTCCGCAGTAATATGGCTTGAACACCTTGGTTTTCCCTTTCATGTCTGCACCATTATCGTTTGATTGTCCTCTGCAGTCACCAAGCAGACATTTCATTTGTTCAACCTTCTCCAAAATGACAGTCGACAGATTGAGATCAGATGTTTCTTGCACTACTGTACTGGGATTCATAAGAAAATATCTTTTAATTTCTGGCGCCTCTAATATCTGTGTTCTAATTATCACTAACAATTGTCCCTGGTGGCCAACATCT